TGTGTAACGATTCGGGTCGAGTCTCCTGTTTGGGCTGATGCTTGAACTTCCCTGCAGTGATACAAGTGCCGGGTGCGCGGCTGGCTTGGTGAGTGGTGGTCCCATCTCTGCTCTTGAACAACATCCAGAAACAAGCACGGGTGATGGGGTGAGAGGGGAAGCAGCTGCCTGCCCGGCTCTCTTCTGTCCCCTGGCTGGCTTTCAGACGTTGTCCTCCCGCGTGCTTTATCTTGGGGCTCTGCCTTTGCTCTTGAAAAATCTCTTTTGAAATATTTAAAAGGGATTGTTGTGTGGGGCTGTCAGAAAGCTGTGGAGCTGGGCAGCGCTGCCGTTCGCAAGCAGGACGGTCTCTAGCCGGGGCTGCTGCTCCGGCTGCTGGGAGCGTGGACGCCCGTCTCTCCGTTAACCACGTGGTCGAGTCAACGGGAGGCAGGACTCGTCCGCTTAAAGCAGATCCTCGGTGGGTGGCTGAAGTTTGGGTTCAGTGCCTGGTTTTGTTGGCTTCCGTTGTAGGAAGCTGCTGGAACTCAGGAGCATTTGGTGGAAGTATAATTTCCATTTCCCCTAAACATCCCCGCTGTCACAGTGCTGCTTCCCACGGCAGCAGCCGGCCAGCGTTCGCTGGCGGCTCCGATGCTCTGTAAAGCCGAGCGCTTGCACGACACCCAGCTCCGCAGCCTCGGCGTGTCTGACAGTGCTCTGCGCGGTGCCCCGAGGTCGTGTCGCGCTGCTTTGTTCCTCACTCTGCCTGCTGGTGCCTCTGACTGTGCAGCCGGGAGGATGCAGGTGGTGGAAACGGCGTTTGCCGGAGCTCAGCCCTCCCTGCGCGCTCGGTGACTTCTCCTGGTGCTGGGGGGGCAGTCGTGGCTCCCCGAGCACGGATGGGTGTCACCCCGCTGCCAAGATCCTTCTCGCTGTAGGTTTGGAAGTGGCAAGATAATTTCATTTTCTAGCCCGGTGCTTGGATGCGGTGCATCCTGGGCTAAAGCTGGCTGTCGCTGTAAGTGCTTTGCTGATTCCCATTTCCCTCCTGCGAGCAACTTTGATGGAAAAGCATGGGAATGATTCAGAGTTTGTTTTGTGGGTTGGAGCGGATGAGGAGGTCTCCTAGAATGTTAACAGGGACTTACGCTTAGGTGTTAATTTTTCTATACATATGAGCCTCTGAAATCTCATCCTTCCCCGGAGGGGGTGATTTTGGTGAATTAAAGGAGTGCCTTGGCTGCCAGCAAGGGGGGTATCCTGCTGCCTCGGGTTCAATCTGTCTCGTGTGAGGTGTCCATATGGAAATGTCAGTGTCTGCTCATCACGGATTTGGGCATCATGCTGTGACCTTGGGCGGCTGTGGTCCGTTGTGTGCAGGAGGGAGGTGGTGGTTTGGGGTGTGCAGGTTGGAAGCAGGGCGGTGGGGTGGGAGCAGACAGGCTGCGGGAGATGCTTGAGCCCCAGGGTGCCAGCGGGGCCGGCTCTGCACGGCTTTCCTGCAGCTCAGCAGACATCTTTGTGAAGCTTCATCCTGCTGTCGTTCCAGATTGAAAACTCCTTTTGTAAGGAAAATACTGCAGAGGCGATGGGCTGCTCTGCGGGTCCTGTGCCCACCGAGGCCAGGGGTT